TCAAACCTGCCTGTTCAGGTGTATGTGGCTGGCGCCTTAGCTGCTTGAGCCACAGGCGCCGAGCCATGACATAGGACTTTTCAACTATTCCTTAGATATGACACGAAAAGCACAGGTAATAAAACACAAATTGGGGGTGGTGCCTGTGGCTCAAAGGAGTATGGCACTGGCCCCATATGCCAGAGGTGGTGGATTCAAACCCAGCCCTAGCCAAAAACTGCAAACAAACAAAAAAGATAAATTGGATGCTCATTAAAATAAGAAACTTGGATATCAAATGCCACCATCAATACACTAAGCAACCCACAGAATGACAGAAAACATTTGTAGATCACATATCTGATAAGAGATTAATATCCAGAACATACAGAGAACTCTTAAAACTTAGCAATAAATATGGGCGGCACATGTGGCTCAAAGGAATAAGGTGCTGGCCCCATACGCTAGAGGTGGTGGGTTCAAACCCAGCCCCGGCCAAAAACTGCAAAAGGAAAAAAAATAAAACAAAAAGACTTAGCAATAAATAGCCAGGCATTGTGGCGGGCTCCCTGTAGTCCCAGCTACTTGGGAGGCTGAGACAAGAGAATCAATTAAGTCCAAGGTTTGAGGTTGCTGTGAGCTATGACACCATAGCACTCTACCCAGGGCGATAGCTGGAGACTCTGTCTCGAAAAAACAAAACAGACAAACAAAGAAAAACTCATCAATAAAAAACTCTGATATTAAAAAATAATCATTTCTTCAGAGAAGACGTACAAATGGCCAATTAGAACAGGAATAAATGTTCAATCTCAGTGGTTTTCAGGGAAATGCAAATCACAACCACAATGAAATATTACCTCACATGTACCTGGCTAGTACCATGGCTAGTATCAAAAAAAAATTAGAAAACAGGCCAGGTGCAGTGGCTCATGCCTGTAATCCCAGCACATTGGGAGGCCAAGGTGGGTGGACTGCCTGAGCTCTTGAGTTTGAGACCAGCTTGAGCTAGAGCAAGACCCCCATCCCTAAAAAAAAGCTGGGCATTGTGGTAGGCACCTGTAGTCCCAGATACTTGGGAGGCTGAAGGGAAGAGAATTGCTGGTGCCCAAGCAAGAGTTTGAAGTTGCTATGAGCTGTGACACCAAGGTACTCTACCAAGGGTGACAAAGTGAGACTGTCAAAAAAAAGGAGGAGGAAATTATGACATACTACAACATGGATAAACCTTGAAGATACTATGCTAAGTGAAATAAGCCAGACATAAAAGAACATATACTGTATAATTCCAGTCATATGAGGATATGAGGTACTTAAAAGTAGACAGATTGATAGAGACAAAATACTATAATGGTTGGCAGATGATGGGAGGAGTTAGTGCTTAGTGGGTACAGAGTTTCAGTTTTGCAAGACAAAAATGTTCTATGGAAGGATTGCTGGTGATGGTTACACAGTGATGTGAATGTATTAAATGCCACTGAACTATCTACTTAAAATGATTAAGATGGTAAATTTTATGTTATGTATATGTTAGCATAATTTAAAAAAAAACTTGGAGGAAGTTCTTTTCTTTTATTTTATTGAGTCAAAGTCTCAATCTAGGCTGCGTAATTACTAAGAAGCTGAGGCACTTGCATCTCCCAAAATGCCGGATTACCCTGGTGCCAATCAGTGGAAAACCAAAGAGGATGAGAAGGACAACAACCCATCTGAGCTCTGGATGAGGGGGACATTGTCTTGCTGAAAACTTATGGTCAGAGAGAGCACTCAATCTAGGCAGATCAAGCAGGTTGAGGAGGATATTCAGCAACTTTTCAGGAAAATCAATGAGCTCACTGGCATTAAAGAGTCTGACACTGGCCTGGCTCCACCAGCACTCTGGGATTTGGCCGCAGATAAGCAAACGCTCCAGAGTGAACAGCCTTCACAGGTTGCAAGGTATACAAAGATAATCAATGCTGATTCAGAGGATCCAAAATACATTATCAACATGAAGCAGTTTGCCAAGTTTGTGGTGGACCTCAGTGATCAAGTAGCACCTACTGACATTGAAGAAGGGATGAGAGTTGGCGTGGACAAAAATAAATACCAAATTCACATTCTACTGCCACCTAAGATTGACCCAACAGTTACCATGAAGCAGGTAGAAGAAAAGCCTGATGTCGCATACAAGGATGTTGGTGGCTGTAAGGAACAAACTGAGAAACTGTGAGAAGTAATTGAAACCCTGCTACTTCACACAGAGAGGTTTGTTAACCTTGGTATTAAGCCTTCCGAGGGTGTGCTGCTCTTTGGTCTACTGGGCACAGGCAAGACACTCTGTGCTTGAGCAGTTGCTAATAGGACTGATGCTTGCTTCATTCGCATTAATAGATCTGAACTTGTACAGAAATATGTTGGTGAGGGGGCTCAAATGGTTCATGAGCTCTTTGAAACGGCCAGAACAAAAAAAGCCTGCCTTATGTTCTTTGAGGAGGGGCTAGGTTTGATTAAGGTGCTGGAGGTGACAATGAAGTCCAGAGAACAACGTTGGAATTAATCAATCAGCTGGATGGGTTTGATCCTCAAGGCAATATTAAAGTGTTAATGGCAACTAACAGACCTGACACTTTGGATCCAGCACTGATGAGTCCAGGGAGGCTGAACAGAAAGATTGAATTTAGTTTACGTGATCTAGAGGGTCGGACTCACATCTTTAAGATTCATGCTCATTCAATGAGTGTTGAAAGAGATATCAGGTTTGAATTGTTAGCAACTATGTGCTGAGATCAGGAGTGTCTGCACAGAAGCTGGTATGTTTGCAATCAGAGCATGGCAAAAAATTGCCACTAAGAAGGATTTCTTAGAAGCTATAAATAAGGTCATTAAGTCTTATGCCAAATTCAGTGCTACTCCTTGCTACATGACATACAACTGAGCCCTGAGGGCCTTCAAAGGAAAACACTGCTTTTAATTGGAATCCTAACCATATATAGACTTGTTAATAACCAATTGACAAAAAAATATATAAAATGCCTTCAAAATAAAAAAAAGAAAATCTATTGCCCCAGGTAGAATGTCATAGCTCACAGAAACCTCCAACTCTTGGGCTCAAGTGATCCTCTTGACTCATTTTTTCTATTTTTAGCAGAGATGGGGTCTTGCTTTTGCTCAGGCTGGTCTTGAACTCATAAGTTCAAGCTAT